TCAGGATGTCACAACGTGCCAATTTATTTATTGTCAAAAAATGGAAATAGGCAGAAGTTAGAAAAGCTTGAATTTGAATACTTCCATCCATCCATCCATTTACTTCCACTAATCTGGGGCCGAGTCGGGGGGAAGCAGTCTAAGCAGTGACTTCCTTCACAATGGACACTTCCTTGAGTTCGCCAGGGGGACCCCAAGGCATTCCAAGGCAGGCCGAGAGAATTAATGTTCTGCTAAACTCAGATTGTGCAGTTAAAAAATAATTATAAAAGGCTTAGGGAATGTGCAATCAAAACTGCACATAGGCTGAGGGAATGTGCAATCAAAACTGCACATAGGGTGAGGGAATGTGCAATCAAAACTGCACGTAGGTGTAGGGGAAATAGCTACTTGTAGGATTGTATAAGGTGTGTGCATCTAATGGTTTAGTATTGACGAATTACTGAAATTATACATGTGTGGGGCACCAGATTCTGACTGAATCAAACTTAACCATTGCGATCACAACGACTTATCAATTTAGTCAATCTGAAGGAAAAGTTCCCGAAAAAGTGACCTGATGATAACTTTAAGAAAAATCACTGAAACCAGCAAATTCCTTTGTGTAGTTTATTAGCAAAATAACAACTAGACACCAGCTTTCAAGTTCTGATTATGTGATTAACAATGAAGCACCAATTTTAACAACATGAGGTAGTTATAAAACGGGGTTCAGTTTAGCTCAGTTTGGCGTTTCGCCAAGTCACTATTGCGCTTGCATTAAGAATAATTGGACGCACTTGTAGGATGGATGCCAACCACTGCACATTCACTGTTCAAACCAGCTCTTACTTGGTGGTGCTCTCTACCAATCAGAAAGTTGATCAGGTTCTCTCACGGAGATCAATACCACGGGTCTGTGTGGAATTCAGCGATGGCCTGGTTTGGGCGCTGTTGTCACACACACAGGCAGGGCAGTGGCACAGCGGTTGTGGGCTCGGGCAGAGTGGTCCACGCCTCCTTCACCGGGGTCCGGGTCTCCAGGTCCTCTCAGCTCTCGGCAGGTGCGACTCCGGGTCTGGGCTTAGCTCCCCTGGGTCCACCTCGGCTGGTTCCGTCTCCCCTGGTCCTCCCCTCGGCTGGTCCGCGAAGGCGAAGTGAAGAGCGAAGTGAAAGCACTTTTTCCACACGTGAGGTTCACTTTGGTCAGCGCATGTGGTGGGCATTGTCATATGCAAATTTAAGGCACGCCTGTGTCTGAGCTGAACTGGTTCCATATCACATTTCGCACAAGACAAAGGCAATTTGATTGTTTCCCAAATTCACGTACTTCATGCCTATTTCATAACATTAGCCAACAATTTAGGCAGGGGAATCAAAGATAGGTTTGTCAGGAAACACACCATGAAGGTACCGTAAACATTTCCGAGGCAACATGACATGAACAACAATAAACTGTAGAACACATGGGGAAAGCAATGTGGTATTCTTGTAATCACATGAGCATTACACCAGAATCACATAGAACACAATTAAACCATTTTAACCAGTTATCAGGATGTGTTTTACTCAGTCTTTCTTTAGTCCAAAGGTGGCAGCCATGTTCTACCGCTGACTTTAACGCGGCCCCACGTTGGCGGCAGGAAGTCTGAGACATAGGTGTGGCTCTACTCACCAAAATGAGTGATGTTTCCCAGGAAAGTCATTATTTAACAGGTCTTATCACTTTAGCAGAGCCATGTTAACCCCCTTAATTGATTCATGTCCAGTTTTGTGTCATTGCGTGAATTCCAAGGTGGGGGTAAGAGGTGTGAACCAGAGAGGACCCCTCCTCCCAGTCGTAAACCTTGCCATAACAGTCTGGTAACCCCAAATTCTCCTCTCCTCAAATGTTGATTTTGCGGGGTGAAGAAAAGTGCACTGAACGGCTTGGGAATGTGCAATTATTAATAGAATACAAGAATGCAAAGGGCTTGCCTGTTAAGAATAAAAGGCTAAGAACAGAACATTGGATTCTTCTGGAATGTTCTTCTGTGAGCCCAGATCTCAATCCTACTGAACATCTGTGAAAGGAGCTGAAACATGCTGTCTGGAGAAGGAACCCTTCAAACCTGAGACAACTAGAGTAGTTTGCTCATGAGAAATGGGTCAAAATACCAGCTGATATATGCAGAAGTGTCATTGACAGTTGCTGAAATCATTTGTTTGCAGAGTTTGCATCAAAAGGTTGTGTAATAAAATATAAAGTTAAGGTACCATCATTTTTGTCCAGGCCAGTTATTTTGTTTTTTTCTAATGATTCTGTTGACCCACAGGTGAAAAGCAATGTTTGAATTTTCTTGGACAATTTTCAGTACATTTTTATTTATTATTGCTTTTATCAGTTTCAAGTTATTTCAGTGATGATTGTTGATTTATTTTCATTGCCAGAGGGGTTATCCACGACTGTACACACACACACATATATACACAAACATATATATATTTTTGCCTCATTAATTTTGGAAAATGAGTTGGAATACTAATATTTTAAAGCTGCTAATTCACACTAATGCATTTTTTGTGATTTTTTTTTTAAATAGTTCTGCAACTAGAGGTGCACTTCCTGGGAGAGTATCTTTGTTCCCTTGGCTCTATTTTTACACTGCTCTGTGTTCCCACAGCTCAATCCATTTTTTCACGTGACACCAAGACACCCTAGGCTGGAGGTCGACGATCGACTTTGTCGTTATGTCATCTGACCTCCGGCTATGTGTCTTGGACACTCTGGTGAAGGAAGGGGCTGAGCTGTGAACTGGTCACCACCTGGTTTGAGTTGGGTCCACTGGTGGAGGAGGAAGCCGGAAAGACCTGGCAGGCCCAAGTGTATAGTGAGGGTCTGTTGGTAAGGTCTGACAGAGCCCTCTGTCATAATGGCAATCCCCAAACCCGGTGGTGGATACCAGAAGTAAAGGATTTTGTCAGGTGGAAGAAGGAGCCCTGTCATGCCTTGCTGGCTCATGGGATTTCTGAGGTAGCTGACAGGTACTGGCAGGCCAAGTGTGATGCGGCTTGTGCAGTCGCAGAGGCAAAAACTCTAGCCTCTAGGCCATGGAGAAGAACTATCAGAAGGCATGAAAGAAATTCTAGCAAACTGTCCGGCGGCTCAGGAGGGGGAAGCAGTACTTCACCAACACTTTTGCGGGGAGAGGTATTGACCTCAACTGGGAAAGGAATACTCTGAGAATCTCTTTACTCCCACCATCATCTTTCTAAGAGGAAGCAGAAGCTGGGGCCTCAGAGGCGGACTAGTCACCCTGGCTGAAGTCAGTGAGGTAGTTGGTAAGCTCCTTGGTGGCTCCGTAAGATCCTTCCCGAGTATTTTAAGTCTCTGGATGTTGTGGGGCTGTCTTGGCTGACAGGTCTCTGCAACATCAAATGGCAGTCAGGGACAGTACCTCTGTTCCAACTACAGGAGAGTCCTCAGCCTCCCTGGTAAAGTCTATTCCACGGTACTGGAGAGGAGAATCTGGCAAACGTTGGATCCAGGAGGAGCAGCATGGTTTTCATCCTGGCTGTGGAACACTGGCCCAGCTCTATACTCTTTATCGGGTGCTCAAGGGTTCATGGGATTTTGCCCAGCTAGTCCACATGTGCTTTGTGGATCTGGAGAAGGCATTCGACCATGTCCCTTGTGGTATCCTGTAGGGGGTGCTCCGGGAGTATGGGGCCCAGTGCACTTTGCTAAGGGCTGTCTGGTCTCTGTATGACTGGAGCAGGAGCTGTGTTCCCATTGCCGGCAGTAAGTCAGACCTGTTCCTGATGCATGTTGGACTCCACCAGGGCTGACCTTTGTCACCGGTTCTGTTGATTGTATGTATGGACAGAATGTCTAGGCACAGCAAGGGGGCAGATGGGGTCCGGGGACCACAGGATCTCATCTCTGCTGTTTGCAGATGATGTTGTCCTGGTAGCTTCATCAGGCCAGGACCTGCACTGTGCACTGAGGCAGTGTGTATCTGAGTGTGAAGTGGCTGGGATGAAGATCATCGTGAGTTTCCTCCGCTGGGTGGTTGGGCGCTTCCTTAGAGACAGGGTGAGGAGCTGGGTCACACGGGAGGAACTTGGTCACATAGGAGGAGCTCGGAGTAGAGCCGCTACTCTTCCATGTCAAGGAGAGCCAGGTGAGGTGCCTGGGCATCTGTTCTGGATGCCTCTTGGGCGCCTCTCTTGGTAGGTGTTCTGGGCATGTCCCACTGGGAAGACCCAGAACACACTGGAGGGGCTATGTCTCTCAGTTGGCATGGGAACACCTTGAGGTCACCCCAGAGGAACTGGAGGAAGTGTCCAGGGTGAAGGATGTCTGGCCCCAATAAGAGGAAGAAAATGGATGGATGGAAATGTGGAAACATAGAGTTGTTTGAATATACAGCTGACTCCCACTTGCTTCAAGAATGGAAGCAGAACACATCAGGACAGGACCCATAGCCATTGTTAATCACTGTGTTTGGCCCAGTTTGACTCTGAGCTATCGTGCATGCTCACAAGGTTTGTAAACAGGAAGCAGCTACTACACAGTCAAAGCTACTATTGAATGTTATATATTGGACAATGCAAAATATTATTATTAATAATGAGACAGCAGTAGCTCAGTGAAGTGGCAGTAGCTCAGTTGGTAGTGTTTGTCCACTGATCCGAAGGTTGAATCCCACTCTCGACATAAACATCATTGGTTGAGCAGTCAGATCCACTGACCCCCAAGTTGGCGGTGCGATTCCAGTTCCCACAGATGCGTGTCTGCAACTGTGTGTCTGTGAATGGGTGAGTGGTTAATTGCTTTAATGTGTTTTGTGCACCTTGAAGATGGAAAAGCGCTATATAAAAATGTGACTATTGGACCATGACCAAATGTTCCTAAGGTAGACCGTGAAATGGAAATATAGCAAAATATAGACCCTTTAATTTGGAAGTTGCTTTCCTAACGCTATACCGTTATGCTAATAACTTTCTTTCTCTCTCCCCCTGTGCTGCTGGACCTGCAGATCACCTGGGAATCGAGTTCATGGGTAAGTCATCTTATCTCATTGGTATTTTATCCAGTATGACTAGTGGCAACACACAATGAACATTAGATGTGCAGGAACAATACTTGGTTAAGTGACTGTACAGAAGTTGAGTGATTCCTGCCTATGTAAAATCCATAAGTTCCATTATTAAACCAATCAGTGTGGCAATTAAAGTAGAGATTGCCAGACAGAAAGCTGCACTGGCCTCTGGTTCTACAGGGCAAAGTATTGCCCATCCTGACTGCTGCTATGTCTCTTTTCCCAAGTGGCCTGTCTGCTTTTTGGACTAATAGACAGATTATTGGTTTATCAATACAGCAGGTGCACACACAGCCTAATGAGTCCGGTTCCTTATATTAATTTTTTAACCTTAGTGGGAATTTTTGGGGGATTTGCTAAACTATATATTTTTGGAAAGGTTAGTATATGGAGTCAGAAACTCAATGTTTGCATTTGCCCAGATGTCTATATGGCGGCCATATTGATTTTTTTTTTTTTAATGGCCGCCAAAAAACTCTTTTTGAAATATCTCAGCCTCTGAATAAGTTGAAATGTTGATTTTAACTGCTAAACCCACATTTTCAGGGTCAGGGAATCAAATGGTACTAGTTACAAAGCTATAACACTTAAACACATTAACCCTTAGATGCATAAGTGGGTCAAAAATGACCCGGTTTGGTTGTTTTCTTTCAATTTCATTGTAATATTCGCATGTAATACTCCATGTTCTTCCAAAAACATGTTTTTTTTTATTATCCTGTTGAAATACATTAACAATGGGGGTAGAACAAACTATAAACATCACATGCAGTTGGTCAGATAATTCAAAGAGTTTAAAAGTAGCTAACATAAAATTTTTATGTTGGATGTCAACATACACATTTAGACGCAATATGATAACAAAACATTTTTTTATTAGACATTTTCTATACATCATCATTATCATCATCACTTTCATACAACCATAGACCGTATATACGAGTGCACAGATCTAACGCTGTAGCTGCCACATGTCAAATAGGAAGTTCTCCAGGAGGCTCTTCCAGCTCCTTCTGACTCTGGCTCCAATGGACTTACATTAGGATCTTGTGGCTCATTTCTCTGTACCTGCTGCAGTGAGCCTCGACATTTTGGTCTTAAAATGTTTGTATTAACTCACTCTACATGATCCAGAATTTTTTTTTTGCTATTTTGTCCATTAAAAAAATCCTATTCATAATATAAAGCCCGTGGGTGGATGAGATCCGTCCTGAGTATCTCAAGTCTCTGGATGTTGTGGGGCTGTCTTGGCTGACACATCTCTGCAACATCACATGGCAGTCGGAGACAGTCCCTCTGGACTGGCAGACTGGGGTGGTGGTCCCTCTGTATAAGAAGGAGGACCGGAGGGTGTGTTCCACCTACAGGGGAATCATACTTCTCAGCCTCCACGGTAAGGTCTATGCCAGGGTACTGGAGAGGAGAATCCGACCGTGGTTTTTGTCCCGGTTGTGGAACACTGGACCAGCTCTACACTCTCCATCGATTGCTCGACGGCTCGTGGGAGTTTGCCCAACCAGTCCACATGTGCTTTGTGGAACTGGAGAAGGCATTCAACCATGTCCCTCGTGGTGTCCTGTGGGGGGTGCTTCGGGAGTATGGGGTCCGGGGCACTTTGCCAAGGGCTGTCCGGTCCCTGTATGACTGAAGCAGGAGCTGTGTTCACATTGCCGGCAATAAGTCAGACCTGTTCCCGGTGCATGTTGGACTCCCCAGGGCCTCCCCTGTCACCGGCTCTGTTTATTGTATTTATGGACAAAATTTCTAGGTGCAGTCAGGGGCCGGAGGGGGTCCGGTTTGGGGACCACAGGATTTCATCTCTGCTGTTTGCAGATGATGTTGTCCTGATGGCTTCATCAAACCAGGACCTGCAGCACTGGGGCAGTTTGAACTGAGTGTGAAGCGGCTGGGATGAGGATCAGCTCCTCCAAATCTGAGGCCGTGGTTCTTGACCGGAAAAAGGCATCTTGTCCTCTCCCGGTGGGTGGACAGTCCCTGCCTCAAGTAGAGGAGTTCAAGTATCTCAGGGTCTTGTTCACGAGTGAGGGGAGGACGGAGCGTTAGATTCACAGGTGGATCGGTGCAGAGTTGGCAGTGATGCGGATGCTGTATCGGACCGTTGTGGTGAAGAGCGAGCTGAGCCGAACGACAAATCTCTCAATTTACCTGTCAGTCTACATTCACCTATGGTCATGAGCTCTGGGTAATGACCAAAAGGACGAGATCATGGATACAAGCACTCGAAATGAGTTTGCATCGCAGGGTAGCTGGGTGCTCCCTTAGAGATAGGATGAGGAGCTCAGTCACACGGGAGGAGCTTGAAGTAGAGCCACTGCTCCTCCACGTCGAGAGGAGCCAGCTGAAGTGGCTCGGGCATCTGATCCGGATGCCTCCTGGACGCCTCCTTCAGTCCTGTAACCGTGAACATGATGAGCCTCATTTGAGCGGCGCTGAACACTATGGGTGTATATATATGGGTGGATCATATCACAACAGCTTCAGGGCCTTTACCCTGTGATAGCAAATATAAGCGAGACCGCAGCATCAAAAAATGAGCAGGACACCCCTATTTGGACGATGCAAGAACCGGAGCCCGCAGCCAGGCCAGAGCTCGGAGCCGGCAGTGCTTGAAGCCCATGGAGCTGGCCGTAGATCTACCCATCTTGTTGAACAGTAGCTAATGTTTATTAAACAAATATATGAAAATAAATGGACAGACACAGAAGGCAGATACATAAATATACTAATATATGGGCACATATTCTGCATTAATATGCTGCTCAATAGGCGCCCACTGCGCCTATTGAGCCCCCAGTGTACACTGAGGCCTGCTGTGGGAATAATGGCGCCTGTAAAGGAAATGTCAGGAAAAGTTAGATACAACATTAGAGAGGACTCCCAAAGCTTGACTAGACATGGGGGAAGGGGCGACGGAGACCATGTGGTCCATCAAACTCAGATGAGTGGGACTGAGTGAGCATTTTGGATCACTGAGTGTAGGACACACTCCTATGAACTTGTCTAAATTAGAATATCACAAATAGAGGCAATAGAGGCTTTGCACTGTCACGTGTCCCCCATGGCAACGATACCTACGCCGCCATGACACCGAGCACGCTATGCCATTGGCTTCAGTAGCATCAGAGAAACATGGGCATGTTTTGTTGTGTATTTGGTTGTTCTAGACGCTCTGAAAGGGATAAAACAATTTGTTTCTTCACCGTTCCTCTGGAAATGACTCATCAATAGCTCAAACAAGGGAATTATAAAAAAAAAAGACAGGAATTATGGCTAGAGAACATAAACCGCGAAGAGATTTCCTATGGTACCATCAAGACACACGTCACTTTCATCAAGGTATTTGCTATTTAAATTGTTTCATAGCTTATTTAATGAGAGAAGCACATTTAGTGAACTAAAATGTAAAAAGAAAACATTTTCAGTGTGAGTGGCAGTAGAAACTGTATCTTCCAACGCACATATAAACATATCACTTATAGTAGGACCCATGTTTTCTTTATTGCCTTGCTTATCCACAACTATGTCTTCAAGAATTAATCGCTTTTTGTGAGCAGATCTTTCTAACATTCATGAGGATCTTTTCATAGCCGATTCTTTCGAGGTTCGGCTCACTGAGCTCTTCGACTCGTGCACCTCGACCCGTGTTGATCATAGAGCCCAGTGTGGGTTTGTTGAATCATAAACTAGTGCGGGTTTTCCTGGATGAATTAATGAAATTTTAGTTCAGTAAATGTGCTTCTTTCATTAAATAAGCTATCAAACAATTTAAATAGCAAATATCTTGATGAAACTTCGGGTGTCTTGATGGTACCATTGGAAATCTCTTTGCGGTTTATTTATTCTAGCCATAATCCGTGCCTTTTTTTCGATAATTCCATTGTTTGAGCTCCCTGATGAGTAATTTCCAGAGGAACAGTGAAGAAATGAATCATTTTATCTCTTTCAGAGCGGCTAGAACAGCCAAATACACCACAAAACCTGCTCATGTTTCTCCGATGCTACTGAAGTCAATGGCATAGCATGCCCTGGTGTCATGGCAGCGTCGGTACCGTTGCCATGGGGGACACATGACGGTGCAAAGCCTCTATATCCTGAAAAGGAGTTTAGAGGATAGAAGGGAGAAGGTGCCTGACAGGATGAAGAAATAGAGGAAGGAAGTAGCAAAAAAAAAAAAAGTACAGAAGAAGTTAAAATTAAAATGGAACAAATGAGAACGGATTAAGATTTATTGCGCAGAGAAAATCAGGATTAAAGAGGACAAACTAGATTTATCAGTGATACTATGAAGGGTTAGGAAGAGTGTAGGCTCCAAGAAAGGTGTAAAACCAAAAGGAGTCCATAATTTGAGGACAAGGAGGGCACTGACGAAGACTGTGATAAGGGTAATGAGCCTATTGAATATGATAGTGACACTCCTGTCACTGCACAGGCAAATTGTAAAATGATTGAAACCGCTATGGACAAAAAAAAAAAAGGTAGACGGGGGTGCTTATTTGTTTTCACTTGAACCAGTGGATGGGGACTGGGAGACTATGTTCCTTTTGGAGTGAGAGACCCCACAGCCTTAGTTGATAAATTACCAAAGTTATACAAGGGTGAGGATTCATGGCTATCTGAATTTACTAATGTTTCAGGCTGTAAAAGAGGTGTTCCCAAAACCTGTAGAGACAGCTCCAACTGTCCTGTCAAGGACTCCTGGGTTAGATCCTGTGGAACATTATGCTAAATGTGTAAAAATGCCACAGGGCATTACTATATAATGTATATACATAGAGGATAAATTTAATGCTGAAAATCAAGACATGTAAACTTAATTGTTAAAATTACAACTGAGTAAGGCTAGAGCTGAAGGTACAAAAGAGAGAAAAAGGACTTTTAAAAAGCTACTCAAACAGCTTTATCTGCTATGATGTGGCAGGGTTCATGGTGAGGTGGTGGGG